TGTTTTCCAGCAGAGGGGACCTTTCCCCCCCCGCCCACCCCAACAGAGGGGACTATTCACAGCCCAGCTCCCCGCAGCTGCGGACGGGGAGGGGGGGGGATTTGCTGAAGCTGGGCTGGGCTTTTAATTGCAGAGCTGGTGATGCTGTCATGTCCATAGGCATAAGGAGACGGGCACCAAGAGGGCCCCGTGCGCAGGGGCGCGATGCTTTCCCCTCCCTCCAGACACAACCCCCTCACCCATGCTCGAAGCACCGCAGCTCGGGAGCAGCCCAAGCAATGCCCACCCCGATGGCAACTTGGTGTCACAGGGGGCTCGCAGCAGTTTGGCAGTGACCTGCTGGTGGGACGGGGCAGGGGACACCCCTGGGGCTCCCCTCTCCCACCACCCTGCCTGCCTGCCCTGCTCCTGAGCTCCTTGGTGACCCCAGGTTGAAGAGGGGAGGGCAGGGTCTTGAACAAGGGCTTGGTGACCCCAGGTTGAAGAGGGGACGGCAGGGTGTTCAACAGGGGCTTGGGGAAGGGCTTGGTGACCCCAGGTTGAAGAGGGGATGGCAGGGTGTTCAACAAGGGCTTGGTGACCCCAGGTTGAAGAGGGGACGGCAGGGTGTTCAACAAGGGCTTGGTGACCCCAGGTTGAAGAGGGGATGGCAGGGTGTTCAACAAGGGCTTGGTGACCCCAGGTTGAAGAGGGGACGGCAGGGTGTTCAACAAGGGCTTGGTGACCCCAGGTTGAAGAGGGGACGGCAGGGTGTCTCTGTGGCTACGATGCCAAGGAGAGGACCTCTTCCCAGCTGCAGCTTGGGCACCCCACCTGGGGTGTACTGGGTCCAGCACGGGGCTCTCCAGCCCAGGACAGACCGTGGGGGTTCGCAAGATGGAGCAGAGGATGCAGAAGGTGGGGGCTCTGCCCAGCGAAGCAGGACCTGATCGCTGGTGACAGCTACGCAAGAGGGGGCGCGGAGAAGACGAGGCCAGAGGCTTCGTAGAGGAACACAGCGACAAGGCACAAGACCAGAAGTTCCAATGGGATATTGGGGATTTTTCTTATCTGCCACGAGCGTTGCTGAGCAGAACCGGGGAGGTTGTGCCCCCTCCACCTTTGGATCGATGCCGCTGGACAAGGCTTGGAGCACCCAGGGGGGCTCAGACCGGCGGCCTCTGTAGGTCCCTTCCCACCCGACCCCGCTCCGGCTCTCCGATTACCATCAGCTCCTCCTCGCGGCTCTCGCTGGAGTCCTCGGCTTTCCTCTGCCGTGCCGACGCCTGGGCAGCCGCCGGCCGCCTGCCGGGGCC